TTTTTTACATATCGATCCGAATAAAAATCTAAATATGCAGGATCATGTAAAATTTCACGGGCTTTCAGAATATGTCGTTACTTTTCATAAAATATGTTCATTTGATAACAATATCCCCAAAATACAGAGAAACGCTTGTTTTTTCCCCGGGGTATATACAAGCAAACGAAGCAGAACGAGACGGAAAAATCAATAAAATACTCAACATTTTGGAACGAAACACAAAAAGTCAAGACGATAACCAAAATACTAGTAGTTGGAAATCATCGTTAAGTAAAAGATATTCTTATTCGCACACGAATCTCCATTATTCTTACATCAGTTCGTATTCAAATATGGGATATTCGTATCTGTTTCATAGTTGAGAAAATCTATAGATTTTACTTCTCATTGATCATTATAAATCGAAATGAATAGGTGACTTTATTCATTATTAACAAAGGTACTTTCCATAGTTTTGCTTTGACAATAAAAATCTCTTTGACTCTTATTTTATATGTTTATCTGATGAATATTGTATTCTTATTCACGTATGTTTTTTTTTTACTTAACTAAAGTATATACTAAGAAAACATTTATAAAGAAAGGAACAAATATTCATCTTAGAAAGACAAAATAGAGAGAGCTATTTTTGCCACTATTCGAACAAGTCATGATACTGCAATGAGAAGATCAGATCGAACATTTTGTCTAGAGAAATATGAAAACGTCATCTCTCTCTCAGAATTCGCTATTACTCATAAGAAATTTAGCATGTACTAGATGGTATCTTGTCGAAATTTCACTTGATCATTGTGTTTGCCAATATGTTGAATGTGGACGTGAATCTTTACATTACTTACTTATACTCCCACTCTAAGTTGCATCGTAGGGAGTATGCATTAAACTATTAGAAAATGCTTGCTGTGCAACATAACAGAGATCATAATAGGGTGTGGGTGTGAGTGTGAGGATGTAAGTAGTATCACTTATTCACCCACATCCACACCCACATCTAATTTCTTTTGCATAGGCTTACATCTGTTTTCGAAAACTTTAATAATTGTTGTGATTTTCTGCTTTCGAAAATCTACGCATATCTTGAGCTATGAGTAGATTCTATTTGATGATTTATTTCATCAAAAAAAAAAATATTCAGTTCATAGAAATATAGTGTAGAACGTTTTGAATTCTATCCACAATTGTAGTATTTCTTCAGCTTTCGAATATCTTGTCCGCTCAACTTGTAAAGTCGACCCATCTGTGATTCCCAATTTTCGTAACCGGCCAACGACGGTCGAATGGTTGGTTTGCCATTTTTCGAGAAAGCATCATTTTGATAGTGCATAATTGAGCCTAAAAATAATTATCTCAAGGTGAGAAGACTGCTGATCGCTTACCATAATCATACGCTTCGCCAAGTGTGTTGATTTCGCTGTTTGTAAAACGCTGGAAGTTATGCTCAGTGCCTGAAGAAAGCGAGGTTCGATTAATCTACGAGGAGAAATTCATCAACTTACCTGATATCATGTTCTCTGGATAGACCTTGACGTATCTATCACGATCAGGTCGTGTTTGCTCGTGAGCAAATCCCAAAGCGTGCAAAAATTCATGAATAGCCACACCTTCATGAACACACCCAGGCTGTTGCAATGATACATCTTGAGCTCCGTTGCTTTTCGTTCTGCCCATATAGGACCAACAGCTGTCAAAGAAGCATTCAAGACTTAGTGTATGAGGAAAAGATCTTGACGTACCCTTGGCCAGGATGGATGCGTAGCCAGACGGGATTGCTACCTCGGGGAACAAATTTGATACAGTTGTTTGTGCTCGAAGTGATGGTTGCCATGGCTGCTTTGATAGTGTTCTGTTGCTGCGTCGTATAGCCCGAGGAAAACTCGTAGGGGACGATACCATTCGACCATTTGCCTGATACAATGAAGGCATTGCGACCACGAGACATTGCAATATCACCTTCTACTAAGTGAATATCCTGCCGATGTGTTTCTGATAGATTGGGCAGATTGAAGAGATTGGGAGCGCCAATTTCTTCTCGTTTTAATGGCGATTGAAAGATCTCGTTTCTCAATTGCATCATTGCATCTTGTTCTTCGTCGTTGTCGTCGCTATTGGCACGTGCACCAAAATGTTTAGGACTGGGACTTCTTTCAACCTCTTCCAACAACGTGTCTTGATAATCCGAATCGAAACGGCGAGCCAAATATGCTTGCAATGCAGTCTCTGCACTGTCGCCACTGTCAGTTCTCAGTGATCTGCCATCAATTGTCTTCATCAAGAAGATCATTACGAAATATACCAGTTGAAAGTGCATTATTGCTACAGTATTAAGTGTTTGTGCCACACAACGTCTTTTTCTTTTTTTTTATGCATTACTAGCAGATATTTATATACCGCTCATCAATTATTCATCCATTTTATCGCATAATTTATCCGATTATAGGCGTAATAATTATTATAAATATTGATTTACTCCTTCGTGGGAGTGTAGGGGATTCATCATCAAGCAACCATTCATTCGTTAATATGCTTTACGAGATATATTAGGCTTCTCATTCCGCAAGAACTAACAAGCTCGCATAATTTGTATAGTTGGCCAACTCAACGAAAAATATTCGTTTTAATATCAAGCTCTACTGAGTGGAAGACACTATTAACTAAGAAAACAAACTTGGTAGGTTTGTCTAATATCAACAAGTTTACATGCAAACATATAGATTCTGTATGAAACTTCGACGATTTCGTACGTAGCCTTGATTTTTTTTGAGTGTCAAATGAGACTAAGTTTCGAATTCATGATTGAAAATCGGGCTGCATAATCTAAATTTCGATTCTGCTCAGAAGGTATCTTGCTTGTATATTAATGATCCCTGCACCCTTCTCTCTCATGCCGTTGAAACATAATTGAAAAGTAACTATCAACTCTGTGTGATAAGAGAGTAGTCAAAGTGAGACTGCAAAATCGCATTGAAAATCAAAGGGTAAATAGTGGAATCCTGGAATCTAGAATTTCCTACGTTTCTAGGGTTATTCGGATTTCATAGAGTTCCTCAGAATTTCATGAAATTTCCGTAGATTTCACAGCATTCCTCAGGATTCTCAGTAAGCGCTGCAGAGGCCATAAAGAGTAGTCATCCGTGCCACAACAGCTTTACATGTTGGTATCTCGTTTTCTTTTTTTCTTCGTTCGTGATCATCTATATATGTAAATATCGATGACTAGCTAATTGTATTTGGTTGAGTTGTGATTCTTAGGGTTGCCTTATCTCCACCCCAAATACGGCAACTAAACCCTTTTCTTTGTTAATCTGTCAATAAATTCAGAACAATTTATTCTAACAGAACTCTAAATACATAGTAGCATCAACGAGTTTCTTTAGTGACGACTAAAATTTGACATGCTTTGATACTAATGATCATCTAATTAGCGTAATAGTATTCAGAAATGTTCGAATCATTTTTCGTTCAGATTTACTTGCTTCGATAACTCGTGATAATCTCTTAGTCGGTGGACGCTAAGATATCTCAGTCAATAGCCGTGAGGCTGAACATTCTTATGAATATTTATTGAAATTATTGATTTTTAGTTTGTAATATTGATGTGTGTGTGTGTGGACGCAGACAAGAACCACATCTACATTTATACCAATCTCTTCTTTGTTTTTCAATATGCACGGTAGTGATGTTTATTTGCAAATGATAAGCTTCTAATTTAAGAACTTAGATTCAAGATTTTTTCTTTTTACTGTTTATACATATGTGTCAGGCAAAATTGAGCTTGAGGCAAAATTAAACATAACTGTTAAAAGATTTTGAAATTAACAACAATCGAAGAAAATAAAAATAAATGATGAATTTTATATATTTCAATCAATTTATGTTAAAGTTTAATTGAAGTCTAACAATAATTTCAGAAGATACAGAGTACGCCACTTTTTTCAATGCAAATCAATACTTAAATTTGCAAAAGGTAGAGTATGCCACTTTTGTCAATGCAAATTTATACTTAAATTTGCAAAAGGTAGAGGAGTATGCCACTTTTTTCAATGCAAATTTATACTTGAATTTGCAACAGGTAGAGTATGCCCCCAGGTGATTTGAACCGGAATAAAACCGCCGGTATACCAATTGGTATAACGTGCAGTCTACCGGTGGTATACCGCCGGTTTTTCGAAAAATAGTGCATCGTTATATACTGCACCGAAACGGCTCAATATTTTTTAAGTCTGATAAAACCGTCAAAACTTCGTGAAAGTCGGTATCGTCAGATGATGTTGATGCACCTGAGCCGTCTGTACTGGCCACAGAGCCCACATCAGTCCCAGTGCTGAGATCAATTTTTCATAATAGATGGCGCTACAAATATTATTATTACTGAAAAAAATTGTAAAAATATTTTTTTCGCCATAATTTTGAATTCTTTTTAATAGTAAATTCGAATTTGAGCAGGAAATGCTATCTGCAAGAATTTAGATCTAGAGTCAGGAGTTGAAGGTGCTACCGGCGGTATTGAGAAGAAACGTGCGGCATGGACCACTTTTTTCAATGCAAATCAATACTTAAATTTGCAACATGTAGAGTATGCCACTTTTTTCAATGCAGGGTGTAGGTGTGAGTGGGCGGGTGTGGGTGTGGATGGGTGTGGGCGTGGGTGGGTATGGGCGTGGGGTGTGGATGGGTGTGGGTAGTGAGTATGGGTGGTCTCTAAAAAACTTGGTGTCATAGGAAACTATTAAAGGTTTTAGCGAAGATTCAGAACCTTTTAAGGCTTCATTCGTTTATTAGTAAACCATCAAAAGGTTCTGGATGATTTTAAGAACCATGCCAAATAGGGTGTGGATAGGTGTCCATCTTCTACTTTTTCAACACCCATACCCACACCCACATCCCACACCTTCGATTCAGTAGTCCTGAAATTTCTTTCGGTTGCGGTTCGATTTTAAATATTTCAGTTTTGCTTCGGTTTAAATTCTAAAAAACTCGAACCATGCCAATATCTGGTACCGCAGGTACTCAAGACCTATTATATGAGTACCCTAGCGTCCTCATGCACTACAATACGGAGGCACCTTGAAGTTCTCATCTTCCATTATATAAATGTATGTTAAATGGCTACGTTCTATTATAAGAGGGCATCCATTGATCAGCAGAGAGATTTCACAATTTTTGTACTTCCAATTTCAACACTATTTTCGTAGCAGTGGTACTCTTGGTTTGCACAGGAATCTCAAAGTGGAGTATTTTGAAACATTATTGTATCATTGGAACTCCTGAAATTAAAACCGACGCTTTTCAAAAGAAATACTCTTAAAAAGTAGAAGTATCAAGTTATAGACACAAATATTTGTATCAGAGGGGTGTGAATATGAGCATGAGTGTGGGCGTGAGGAGCTGTTTTTAGTGCTGTATTCATTAACATCCACATCCACACCCACACCCATCCAGGCAAGGATATAGGTATAAGGCTTTAGGAGTAAGAATATACTTATCAGAGCACAGATGTAAGACTATATAGATAAAAGTATAAATAAAAGGATATGATGATAAGGTTATAGATATACGGAATTAGACAGACATAAAAAGTCATAGATATAAGGGTTCAGATATAAGAGCATAAGGATAAAGATATTAGTGTGTGAATACTGAGATATATCAGATTGGAACATAAATTCTGCACGTCTGGATCAGTAGAATTATAGTGCCAATATAAAACTACATTTTAAGAAAATTAATTATGCATTCTGATAGCACTCGGGATTCTCTATCATTCTGTGTATTTAGGTTTTGACTTGTATTTATTTGCTGAAAAATATTTCAAATACAGTGAAGGCACTCCAACCTTCAGATCTCCACGAACTTCATTTTTTGTTCCTTTCTCATGTGTTTTTAAAATTTTTATCTATACAGTAATCCGTTTTTTAGAAAAGTAATTATATATTCTGAGAGTTCTTGAAATGCTCTATTGTTCTATATATTCAAGTCTTGACTTGAACTTATTTGCTGAGAAATATTTTTCAGCAAATAAATGTAAGTCAAGACCTAAATACACAAGGTAATAGAGAATTCCGAGCGCTATCAGAATATATAATTACTCTTCTTAAAATGTAGTTTTATATTGGCAATATAATTCTACTGATCCAAACATGTAGAACTTATGTTCCAACCTAATTGATGGAGCTATAAGGCTTTAAGAGTAAGAGTACAGGTATAATAAACTTAAGTAGAGTTTGCTAGCTCTCAGCTAATCACGATGTATTACGTTTTCTCTTGTCCTTAAAGGATAGGCCTAATTCCATAATCAAACATATAAAAACACCTTTAAAGTTTTAAACAAAAAAACAAAGTGTAAAAAGTACATATTTTAACGCATTACGAACGCATAAAGGTATATGATGCCGTAA